ACCTGAGTCACGGGGACGTCCTCTTCCCTAAGCTATGCTCTGATTAACTGCCCATCGTGCCCCACACCCTGGGGTGGTGTACATATAAGGAACTAACTTTAATCTTTTAGAGTATAAAAATAAAAGGGACCCGGTGTATTATTACTCGAGTCAACCGTCTGTATGTGTCTCAGTGTTTTTCTTTGTGTTCTGCGCGTTTGTGTTTTATGTTCTGTGTTCATCCTCCGTCCTGCAAACGAGCCCTGCGGGCAGGCAGACTCACCCGGTAGTTGGAGTGGGCACGGTTGTTGTGGAACTTCCCCAGCGGGATGTGCTCCGAGTGGCCGGGCAAGTACATTCCCGCAGAGGGGCCCGTTGGCACGTGGTGGAAGATGAACCAAAAGCCGGTTTCCTGTGGAGGGAGCAAATGGTGGGAGTGGGCAGTGGAACTTGGCCCCAGCGAGCTCCAGTCAGGCTCCTTTGTGGGTTGGGGGCTGGTCTGAATCCATCCCCCAAAGGGGCCCCCGCTATCCACCCCGAACACGGCGCTGGGCAGCCCGGTTCTTGAGGGAAGCAGGGAAAAGGATGAGACGACTGTGACTCGTGGGGTCTCCCCGGCAGGTACAGCCCTACACAGGGTCCCGCCTGCAGCCCCGGGACCTGAGACGACTGTGACTCGTGGGGTCACCCTGGCAGGTACAGCCCTACACAGGGTCCCGCCTGCAGCCCCGGGACCTGAGACGACTGTGACTCGTGGGGTCTCCCTGGCAGGTACAGCCCTATACGGGGTCCCGCCTGCAGCCCCAGGACCTGAGACGACTGTGACTCGTGGGGTCTCCCCGGCAGGTACAGCCCTACACGGGGTCCCGCCTGCAGCCCCGGGACCTGAGATGACTGTGACTCGTGGGGTCTCCCCGGCAGGTACAGCCCTACACGGGGTCCCGCCTGCAGCCCTGGGACCTGAGGCGACTGTGACTCGTGGGGTCTCCCCGGCAGGTACAGCCCTACACGGGGTCCCGCCTGCACACCTGGGACCTGAGATGACTGTCAGGGTGTCCCCGCTTGCCCTTCATTCTGCAGACTCGGGGGCTGGGACCTGAGATGGCACCTGCCCATTTTAGGGTCCCCTGTGTGAGGTCAGAGCATGGGGTGGGGGGCCAGGCTGTGTAGACAGGGTGCTGTGCTACTGTCCTGCCCCACCCCTAGCTGCGTGTGCCCCTGGGCGCGTGAGCTGACCCTGCCTGTTTCCTCCCCCCGCAGGTGAGGACGGTGAGAGTACTCATGCCACAGAGTTGACGCAAGGATCAGAGTCTGTCTGCTCAGCACACGGATGCGCCAGGCTGCAGACCCAGCTGAGCTATTTCATGCTAACAGTGAGCTTTGCACACCGAGTGCTCAGCACGCATGAGCTGGGGCCGCCGGCACCGTGCAGCGACAGAGCCGTCATTAAAACCAGGTCCCCCCCCCTCAGCCTGTTGTCTTCCTGCTCGCCCAGCTCAGCCCGGCTGCGTGGCTGTCTGGACGTGGCTCAGGACACGCGTGTGTCGGGGTTCGCCTCGGCCGTGCCCCGGCCCCTGCCCCCGCTCTCTGCTCACCTCGGACCCGGCCGCCGAGCAGTTGATGAGGTTGTTGTTGGGGTTGGCCATCCAGAAGGTGGACACAGCACTGCGGGGGGTGGGGGGCAGAGACAGAGAGATCACGGGCGTGTCCGTCTGAGCCCGGTCGGTCACTACAGTGAGCTGCTCGCCCCGGCACTCGAGATGCTGGGAAATTGAGGGGCCTGGGTCTCTGGGGGGAGCGGGTGTGGGTGACGTCTGAGATCGGCTCTAAAATAAAGGGGAGCCCCCGGGAGGGGCCTTGGAGTCCCAGGTTGGCCGCACAGGGAGCTCTCTGTCTGTCTCCCTGTCTCCCTGTCTCTCTGTCTCCCTGTCTCCTTGTCTCTCCCTGTCTCCCTGTCTCTCTGTCTCCTTGTCTCTCTCTGTCTCCCTGTGTCTCTGTCTCCCTGTCTCTCCCTGTCTCCCTGTCTCTCTGTCTCCCTGTCTCCTTGTCTCTCCCTGTCTCCCTGTCTCTCTGTCTCCCTGTCTCTCCCTGTCTCCCTGTCTCTCTGTCTCCCTATCTCTCCCTGTCTCCCTGTCTCTCTGTCTCCCTATCTCTCCCTGTCTCCCTGTCTCTCTGTTTCTCTCCCTGTCTCTCTGTGTCTCTCTCCGTCTTCTTGTCTCTCTGTTTCTCTGTCTCTCTCCCTGTCTTTCTCTCTCCCTGTCTCTGTCTCCCTCTGTCTGTCTCCATCTCCCTGTCTCTCTGTCTCTGTCTCTCTCTGTCTCCATCTCCCTGTCTCTGTCTGTCTCCCTCTCTCTCTCTGTCTCCATCTCCCTGTCTCTCTATCTCCTTCTCTCTCTGTCTCTCTCCCTGTCTTTCTCCCTGTCTCTCTGTCTCTGTCTCTCTGTCTGTCTCCATCTCTCTGTCTCTCTCTCTGTCTCCATCTCCCTGTCTCTTTCTCTGTCTCCATCTCCCTGTCTCTCTCTCTCTGTCTCCATCTCCCTGTCTCTCTCTGTCTCCCTGTCTCCATCTCCCTGTCTCCCTGTCTCTCTGTCTGTCTCTCCCTGTCTGTCTGTCTCCCTGTCTCTCCGTCTCCCTGTCTCTGTCCCTGTCTCTCTGTCTCTGTGTCTCGTGTCTACGAAAGGCTCAGCGTGGCTGGGGTCTCTGTGCGCCCAGGTGGCAGCCGCTCCCTCTCATCGAAGAGCACCGAGTGGCGTCAGGACAGCCCCGGGTGCGCGTGGCGGTCCTCTTTGGGCACGAACGGTGCAAGGAGGGAGACCGAGGAAGGAGAAGGGAGGAGCCGCTCTCCCGCCCTCTCTCCAGGAAGCCAGGGCTGCGGGGGGTCGCTGGCTGTGAGGCCCGAGCTGCCCGCAGCCGCGAGGTGGGGTCGGGCGCTGGGCTCACGCGTGTGCCCCACCGGGCCCGGGTGGGCGCAGGGCGCGGGGGGAGGGCGCCTACTTGCAGTCCTGCCTGGGCTTGGGCACGTAGCCGGGGTAGGAGTCCTCGGTGATGGCCTTGCACATCCTGCTGTCGCGGTCGGAGGGCAGCAGCGTGCCGGCCTTGACCAGCAGGCCCAGGCAGTGGTCGAAGGTGTTGCGCTCCTCCGGCCCGTCCTCCGTGAAGAAGCAGTGGCCCAGCGAGTCGTAGCCCACCACGTCCTTGACCTGCGGGCGCAGGCGTCTCACCAGGCGGCCGGCCACTCGCACTCAGCACTCCCGCAACAGACGCGCAGCAGCGCGAGCCCCATGCCGCGCCCGGGAGTACCGGGCCTGGAGTCACACTGGACTGGCGCAGGGCGGGGCCTGGGAGGGCTGCGGACTGCGACTTTCTGTTTTTTCTTTCTTGAGACAGAGTCTCTCTCTGTTGCCCGGGCTACAGTGCCGTGGCAACAGCCTCGCTCACAGCAACCTCAGTCTCCTGGGCTCAATCAATCCTCCTGTCTCAGCCTCCCGAGTAGCTGGGACTATAGGCATGCGCCACCATGCCCGGATAATTTTGTTTTCTATATATTTTTAGTTGTCCAATTAATTTCTTTCTATTTATAGTAGAGACAGGGTCTCGCTCCTGCTCAGGCTGGTTTCGAACTCCTGACCTTGAGCGATCCTCCTGCCTCGGCCTCCCAGAGTGCTAGGATGACAGGCGTGAGCCACCACGCCCAGCTGACAGTGACTTTTTAAAGTCTCTTCCAGCTGGAAGTGCTGGGGGTGGGGCTCTGTGGGGTAGAAACGGGGCGAGATGTCTTAGGTGAGAGGGCGGGTCAGAGAGGAGAGGCCCCAGACTTGGCCCCGCGAGCCTGTCCCCATGGCGCTTTGTCCCCATGGCGCTCACGGCCGAGCGCACAGCGTGCAAGGACTTGCCGTGGCGGGGTCCACAGAGAAGACCCCCAAGTAAGCGTGGTGGGGGTGGGGGGACCGCACCCAGGAGCAGCCCCTGAGCCGGGCCTGGTGCGATTTTCGTGAAGACCAGCACTGACGCCCAGCGAGTGTCCTCGTGGGACCCAAGCCAGCCAGTTCACCTCCCGTGCACACCCTGCCGCGTGCAGCCGGGGGCGAGAGCCGGAAAGGGCTGCAAACCCCAGCCCCCCAGTCTCCTTCTGGGAGCCACAGCGTCAGTGGGGCAGCGGAAAGAGGGTTTGGACGGGCGCTGAGAGGCCGGGGCTGCGGTCTCAGTGGCTCACTCACCACCCACCACCCACCAGCCGCCACCCACCAGTCGCCACCCACCAGTCGCCACCCACCAGCCGCCACCCACCCGCCACCCGCCAGCTGCCACCGGCCTGGGGATCCTGGAGGGGTCTCCTTTCCTCGACCACTTTCCCCCACACAGAACGCAGGTCGTGAACCCCATGGCCCCTGAGATCCCCTCGGGGCCCGACTCCCTGAACCCACCGATCTCAGAACTCAAAGGGCCTAGAGGGCGCCTGGCCTGAGCCCCTCCTCCCCATCGGCGCTGGACGCTGTCCGAGGCGTCCCTGCCAGGCACCCCCTTCCGCTCAGACAGCCCAGGAAGAAGGCGCTGACCAGCTCGTGGGGGGCGTCTCCCCAGTGGGCAGTGGTGGGAAACAGCCCCCGCCTGCTACCCTCCTCCCTCCCACCCGGCGCTCACTGATAGACGGCGTCTCCCAGCCAGGGAGCCCTGCTTCCGACGACGCCAATCCGGCCCCCCATGAAGGGCCTGCCGCCACGCCTCGCCTGGGCAACCCGCGCCCCGTCCAGAAACAGTCCTGTGCGGTGTGGGTGTTTAGCGGCGGCCCCGGCCCGCCCACTAGGTGCCCGCTGCACCCTCAGTCCTGACCACCAAAACGTCTCCCAACCATTGTGTTGTGGGGAGGGAGCCAGAACCAGCTCTGACCGAGAAGCGCGGAGGTGGGGCGAGCACCCCAACTGCTCCAGAGGCTCCCCCACACAGCAGCTGCTCCCCAACCCCCAGGCAGCCATCCGTCCTTTGCAAGTGTCCCCAACCAGGCCCCTTCCTGTCCTGGCACTGGCCTGGCCTCTTACGGCTCACATAATCCTCTAGTGGATTTTTTTTCTTTTAGAGATGAGAAACCTGGGACTCGGAGAAGCCCAGCGGTTTGCCGGAGCCACACGAGCCCCGTGCGCAGAGCCTGCCTGGAACCTGGTCTTCTCCCCGCCCTCTTTGCTCCCCGAGGGAGGAGCCGCACACACAGGCCTCGTGGTCCCCAGCGAGCTCTCCGTTCATCCTCTGCGACAGGCTCCCGCCCTCCATCCTCGGGGAGGGGCCAGGGTGCGACCTTGAACCTCACTCAGCCCTTCGACAGGCACTGCGGCCAACCCGGGGTCACCAACCCGGGGTCACCGGAGGGGCTGCGCCCTGTTCTCCCCTGTTCTCCCCGTGAACCACAGAATCCACTATAAATAGTCCGGACAGACGGGCGGGGAAGAGGGGGCAGGAAACGGGGCCATCCGGCTGGCAGGGACATCTGAGCTCGAGTGCAACGCCTTCACCCTGCAGAGCAGGGACGTGGGTGCCCCGGGGCTCCCGGCGGTGGGCCTCCTGGCTGAGCCCTGCTCAGACCCGGCCCTTCCGCCCACAGCCCTTTTAAATCCCGGGCTCCCATCTGCCGCCCTGGCCGGGTCACACTCCGGGTAACCCATCTCCGGACGGGAGCGAGTAACAAGTTAGGTCCATTTGCACTTGAACAGACGCCCGGGAAGGGAAAGCCCCCGAGCCCCTGGAGACGCACCTCAGAGAGAGACAGCCTCACTGAACGGAAGAGAAATAATAGCTGCTGCTTGTTGGGTGTCGGACGTTTTGCACGTCGCCTCTTTGAAACGGTAGTGCAGGTGCTATTCCGCAAACAACACGGACACTCACACGGTCACCTGTCTCCTCTCCAGCAAGGCAGCGCCGGGGCCGATCCCACCCCCGATCCACACCTGTGCGCGATCAGCGGTGAGCAGGCCGGAAAGAAAGCCCCTCCCCTCGGGGTGTGCATTTCTTCCCTCTCGCTGGGGTGGGCGGGGGTGGCCGCAGAGCCCAGAGAAGACGCGGGCTGAGGCTTCGCTCAGCCACAGACCTGCTGTGACGGGACCTGCCTGCGTGTCCCCGAGCAACAGGGTGACGTCTGACATTCCTTCCCGCTCTCCCGTCCCGGGGTCGCCCCTATTCATGATCTCCCGGGGTGGACTATTCACACCGTGACCTCCTTGAGAAGGTAGAGGCCAGGCAGGTGGACACAGAGAGTAGCCACGCACGCACACGTGTGTTACACGTGGCCACCCAGAGCCTGTACACGCCGGCCGGCCGGATCCGTGAGCTCCCTGCACGGACCATATCCCCTGGTTCTGCAGCAGGTGCAGGCCCGCCCCGGGCTCTGCCCACCCCCTCTGCTCTCCCGGAACCCCCGCCCAGCCCACGGGCCGTCGTCAAGGAGGCAGTTCCTGAAAGCTGTTCCGGGTCCTCCGCTGCGGTCAGGTGCGGTCTGTGCGTGTGAGGTTGCAAGGGAGAACATTCCTGGGCTCCGTGGTCGACTAAAGGCCCAGAGAGAGTCAGAGGGCTGTTTCAATCTGAGGGACCACTTACTTAGTTCACGGTCTGAACCGGGACGTTTTGAGAGCGAATTGGGTGCCACTAGTTCCGTGTTTCCCCGAAAATAAGACAGGCTCTTATATTTATTTTTCCTCAAGAAGACACCCTAGGGCTTATTTTCAGGGGATGTGTATTTTTTTTTAAGTACGGACAGCCATCTACATTTATCCAAACACGGTGCAGCCGTCTTCTTCTGGAACATCATCCTCACTCTCCAGACCCCGAATCCCGTCCTGAATGTCTTGTGACTCTGTTTCCCTTAGAACCACCGCCCGATCTCTCCTGTGGAGCCACAGAGCTCTCACGGGCGGATGGGAAGGGCTGCTCGTGTTCTCTCCCGCCCCGCGACCACACGCACGGGTTGTGCAGACGCTGCGCAGCCACGCCCGTCACCAGGGCTGATTTTCGGGGTGGGGCTTCTATTGCGCACATGCTTAGACATCCGGCTGAGGCTTGTTTTATGGGTAGGGCTTATTTTCGGGGAAACACGGTAGTTGCGCTGAGACAATTGGTCCAGAATGGGACTGTTCTGTGCAAATCGGGAGTCGGCTGTAAGTCCCTCCCACCAGCACACAGCTGGTGCTACAAACCGCCGTTTAACATACACACACACACAAATGCACACAAACTTCGCTTGCTCCTGTGATCCAAGGCAGGTGAGAGGCATATTCGTACTAGCGAGAGACTCGACAGCAAACACAGTCGTGTCAGAAAGAAGACTGTCATTCTCGAGCTTCTGCTGTTATTTTAAAGCGGAGTCTGAACTGCGGGAGAAGGCCGCCTTGGAGCAGGGCGGTGGGCGGCTTGCTTTGCAGAGCGTCTTGATGAGTTTTGAATATGCAAATAGAGAAATAGAGGCTGGGAGGGGCTGGACAGCCCTAGGCCTCGCCTAATAAGGGAAGGAGTGAGAGCGCCAGGCAGCCAGGGAGGTGGGG